CAAAAAAAAAAAAAACAAATACAAAGTAATCGTCAAGGTAAACATTGCTATCTTTTTACTTTGTTCTGTTTTGCTTTTTGACAGTACAAGTAATAAACTCAGAACCTCACATTGCCACAGAAGTGTTCTACCTCTGAATCACAGTCCGGATCTCCAAAATTTATTATTGCCTTAATTAAGTCAAATTAAGTCAATCTTTAGCAAATGTGACTTTGAATATTCAATAGCCATCAAAATTTAGGCAAGCCCCTGCACTGGCAGAGCTACTATTTGCTAAAAGCTCAGATGAAGGCTGACAATTTTTTGAACAATAAAGTATTTTTCATCAACTTTTACTAATTGCTTTATATGCATAATGCTATTGTGCAGTTAATAATCTAGGATATAGTGGAAAATAAGTTTTACACACACCAGGAAATCAAATATTGTGTGAGCCAATTTCTTGCAATATATGCTTCATTTCAGTGGTCAGGCAGTATTTTGAGGTATTTTTGCATAAAGGGTTGCCTTCAGGCACTGAAAGTATACTGAGGTACTTGAAGTTACTTCAGTGCTTCTCAAGTACTATTCTCTTTTGAACCTAAACACATGTTATTTCTGGGACCCAAGAGAGAGTACAAAAACTCAGTCTCATGCCTTGTATGAAGCTACACACTGTTGAATCACAGACACTTCAGGGTCTACCCCCTAATCAACATAGGCAGCAGCATTTCAGGAGGTCCCTAGTACTTCAGGGCCTAAATAGTACCTTTGTATTGAACCACAGAGTTTTTAATAGACCCGTTGGATTGGTTGACTGAGTATAACTGAAAGTCCCCCCTGCCAGAATTTTGAACATCACTCGGAAGCCCCCCAAATGTTGTTCCCATTTTTAATATTTTATGTTTGTATTTCAAATTGTGATTTTATTAAATTGTCCATTGGGCTACACTACCATGCAACAGGGACAAATGGAGACGTTACTGGTGCCCGCTCAAGCAAATCGATGATTAACGGGAAGTCTAGTGATCAAGTGATTAAATTGTGAAATAATGAAAATTAGTGCAATTAGCAATATTTCTTTGATGTTCAGTGGAAACATGAAATTCTTGGAAATTCATGTTCGGAAATTCTGACATGCTATCCCAGTGGCCTTTACTTTTTCTTGAACCTTAATTTTGGAAATTTAGATGCATAGTTGACACATATTTCTCCATTCTCATTTCATTGTCACCACCTCTTCTTCAGATGCTAAACTATGCCACTCCAACTCCATCTCAATGGATTTGTCCACAAATAAGGATTCCATATCTTCCCTAAAAATGAGAAATTTACAGCTTGGGAGAGTTTCAATGCACATTATTCCCTTATAAGTATGACTTAAAAATATCCACGGAGGCCAGAGTGATAGTACAATGGGTAGAACATTTGCTTTGTCTGGGGCTGACTTGGTTTTGATTTCTGATATCAACATATGACCTTCCGAGAACAGCCAGGAGTTATCCATGAGCACAGAGCCAGGACTAAGCTCTAAGCACACACAACTTGATGTGTCCCCAAACAAAAAACAAATGATAAAAATGCCCATCTCCTTTGTCAGGGTCACTGGATGCAGGGCCTAACAAAGCTATTTACTCTCTGGTTGTTCGGATTGTCCTCCTAATTTTCTAATTTTTTCTAACCACACTTATCAGTTCCACATGCCTCATATGTCACATATGTGACACATATAATCTCACTTGACTACATTTACATTTTAGATCGAAGTTACTGATAAGAATTAAAAAATGCATTCTATCTAAGGAACACCAAAGGTCTGGTCCTGACTGGACACCCTTGCAAACTAAATCAGAAAGAACCCATTAAAAAAAAAAAAACATGTTAGTGTGTTAATATCACTGGGAACTGATGTTGAGATTGTCATTTCATCCAGTGAATTGTGAAAAGAAAGAGCATTGATCATCCATTGGTTAATTGATACCATTCATTGCTTTTATATCCTCAATGTTACCTTACAGGATTATTTCTGATCCGAATATCATCACCAAATGAAGACAATATTGCATGAGTCTTTGGTGGTGGTCAGTAGTCAGTGAGAAGAGAAAAACAAAGCCTAGCTAATGTTAGTATCTAAACTCTAAAGGGGAGTATTATAATATGGCCTAACTTATTTATAGAGGAGGGCATCAGGAAATATAAACAATTTACTTGCCAATACCATGCATCACTAACTTGAGAGTGTTAGTAGCTTCAATTTTCCTAAGGAAATGGGCTTTAGAATTAATTTTCTACCCACTGATTGATACAGAAATCTGGAATGATTTCAGAACACCTGACCTGTGCACATTGTACGCCTGAATTTTTTTATTCCTGACATACTTATAACTGAGCTTTTCTCATATTCTCCTACTTATACTCTAATCCTGGTCTTTAGGATCAGGTTCCTTCATTTAGACTTGACTTGATAATTCTGGAATTCCTGATCTCCACTCCTGAAGTTCACACCAGAAAAAGGAACACCAGCAGATACTGATCCTTAGAGCAATGCAATAAAAATTGTCTGCACTAAAGTTCAGATTTCCATGGATGGCAGAGCTTGCCCAGAGCAAAGGCAAGTTGCCAAAATACTCAAGATGAATTCTGGTGACCTTCAAACTCTGCCCATCAAGTCATGCAAAAGACAGGACAAGTCAGAGACTTCTCTCTGGTTAAGTATGATAAGATTTTGGCGCATGGAATATAATTTCTACTACAAGTTTCAGCCTGAAGAAAGGGATTTTATTTTCTTTTTCCTGACATTTTTCTCTTTTAAACTACAAGACTATGGCAGAATCTGAGTTTTTTCAGTGCTTTGCAAGAAGCCTGTTGCAGTAATTTTCAATAAAAGGTATAGAGACAAATTACAAGGCAGAAAAAGAGAACAAAAAATGTAGATCCCAAGGAACTGTTTCTTACAATATTGGTCATAGCTCTTAATGAAAATAAAAGATCAAGTGTACCTACCATCTCCTTCAGAAAAAATAAACAGTAACAAGAAATAACTTCTGCCAAGAGAATGATTTATCTCTATTACTTATTTACCTCTGATGACATTACCAGGCAAGCCTAAGACTTTTATCATCGGCTTATTTCTTAGAACCACAGTTCAAAACTCAACGCACTGTTTTGTGAAATGCTGTCCCGTATTATCCCCGAGGTCATGATATTTTATTTTCTGTTCTCACTGTGACAGGGGAAACAGGAGCTAGATGACAAGAACTTTGTATGCCAATATATGAAGTCTCGTGTTCATCCTGTATGAGTACTAAACAGATTGATTTACTGAGAGAGTCTAATAGGAACGCACTTTTTGTGTTTTGTTTTTGGGGTCACACCAGCAGTGCTCAGGGAGGATTTCCCCAGCTCTGTGTTCTGCCTTTATTCTGGCACTGTTTCAAGAATCACATGATACCAGATATTAAATAGAACTCAGTCCTACCACTGCTAAGCATGCGAGTAGCCAGTTGAGATATAACACTGACTAGGGAAGTACTTCTTAAAAGAAATACTCTGGGGACCAGAGTGATAGCACAATGGGTCGGGCATTCGCCTTGCACATGGCCGACCTGGATTCAATCCCTGGCATCCCATATGGTCCTCCCAGCACCCCCAGGAGTAATCCCTGAGTGCAGAGCCAGGAATAATCCCTGAGCATTGTTGGGTGTGACCCAAAAAGCAAAAAAAAAAAAAAAAAAAAAGTAAAAAAGAAATACTCTGACAAGTGTATGAAATTAAACTGAAGAGATGAGGAAGAAAGCTAAATAATACTCCTGGCTGAAAAGGATGAGAAACAGTTACAATGATAGAGGCAAAGCTAGTACTAAACAAAGTATCAAAATATGTACGTTCACTAATAAAAAATTAAAAAAAAAATAAGTGCCCTGTAACTAATTGTGAATAAAAGGAAAAGAGAGCAAAGAAGAAGGATTGAGAAAAATACATGATAGGAGGAAGGAAAATATAGAAAGAAGGCAGACAGGAAGGAAGGAGAGTGTGGATGAGAAGAATGAGGGAGGGAGAATGAGGCGAAGGAAAAAGTGTTGAAAAGAAGGAAATCGCAGGAAACTGAAATTGTTGAAACCTATTAAAATACTCCCAGGTATTGAAAGGACACAGGCCATTTGTAATCTTTAAAAATCACATTCTACAGAAGCAATTCTCAACCGAGAGGCACATTAGAATCATCCACACAATCTAAATAATCCTGATGCCATGACTGTATCCAAACCAATTAAATCAGAACCTCTAGGGGTGGATTCGAGACCTCAGTACTTTTGTAATTCTCTTCAACGACTCTAATGTGCAGCCAGGGCTGAAAATCAGAGCTCTGTGGACTGTCTGCCTCTGGAATCAATCTCTGCTTGATAATTGGTTGCCATGGAAATTTATCCACCAGCTGGATGTGGGTTGTCCACCCTCCAGGTTACTTTCAAAACTAAAAATAACTGAGATTCTTCAATCATTGCATAATACAATCATTTTATCAGCCACAGTGAGCTCAACAGTATTGCACTGAAGCCCACTTTTCCTCTATAAATATCCACTCAGGGAGGCTCAGTGAACTCCAGCTATACTCTAGTATGGGGTATACATTTAGCAGCACCAAAAAAAGTTACTTGTCAGTTGCTTCTCATTTGCTGAATAGCCATTCCTCCAAGCCCTTATGTATTAAAGACTCAGCAATGCAACAGTTTGTATAATATGCACAATAGATTTTAATTGTACAATTAAAATTTGCATGCTTGATGGAAATAAACAATTGCTCATTTTGCATATTGCCTCTGCTACTTGTTAGCTTTTGTGACCTTGGACAAATCATTGTTGGAAGTTCGTTTCCTTATGTACACAACAATACTTCAGTCAGAATCCTGTTTTGTATGTAGAATGAGACAAGATGCCTTATTTTGTAAATTTTAGTGACCATGTAATATAGCATCCGTAATGAAAATATCAATAGATATTATTTCCATTGACATTCCATTATATAGAACTTTTGTTTGCTTGTGTTTGTGTGTTGTCCTGGTGCAGGGGCCCTGCTAATCATCTCTGTATAGTTTCAAGTTTAGTATATTTGCTGCTGAAGTGGCCGACCGGGGTTTGATTCTTCCATCTCTCTCAGAGAGCCTGGGAAGCTAGTGAGAGTATACCACCCACGTGGCAGAGCCTGGCAAGCTCCTTGTGGTGTATTCAATATGCCAAAAACAATAAGTCTCACAATGGAGACATTACTGGTGCCCACTCAAGAAAATCGATGAACAAGAGGGCAGTGCTACAGTGCTACAGTGTTTGTTTTTGGAGGGGTGTACATCTGGCAGTGTTCAGTGCTTACTTCTGACTGTGTGTTCCACACTACTCCTAATGCGACCCAGAGGATAACAGGGGTTATGGAAATTGAGTCCAGGTCAGCAGCATGCAAGAAAAGCGTACCCACTCTATTATCTCTCCAGCCCTAGACTTTGAAATTAAAATTACAGTGTCTTTTCTTCATTCTACACAGTTTCTACTGAACAAAATTCAATGTAGCTCCCTTATACTCAAATCCCAGTCTAATAATATTTCAGGTTGTCAAAATCTATGATGACATGTGAAATATGTTTTGGGATTAAAAAAAGTAATTTTGAATCTGAAATATGCTGGAGAGTAGGTAACCTGGTAATAAGATCAAAGCATACAAAAGTACATAATTTGCTTGATTAGCTAAATAATATCCTATGTATGTGCATCCTCTATAGTCTATATAATAATTATATATTCTAACCAACTTGGGGAGTGAAATGGCTGGGATCTTGCGAGGATCACAAACGCATCATCAAATCACTATCATACTAAACACCTCCTACACATGATCTCTGCTACTGATTAACTGCACGTTAGAGTAGTTACAGATGCTCTGTTACCTAAAAAGCAAATTGAAAAGACAGGGAGAGAGAGAAAAAAAAGAGCAAAACAATTCATTTTCAATCTAATTAAAGTCATTATAAATAGCCTCCTGGTGCTTAACCTTTTTTTCCCTCCAAAAATCCCCATCTTTAAACTAAATGCTCGGATCTAAAGCTTCGTTGAGGCTTTTCTTAATTGCCTTCCCGTCACTAATGGGATTCACTTCATTATTACCTCTGCCAAAAGCTGCTTCCAACTTTCGGGCCTCATGCTGCGCCATTTACATGCCTATTTATAATGTACACTTTCACTGAATGTTGAAGTCACACCACTTCAGTGTTTAGGAAGTTAAATTTTATTGTGGTCTCTCTAGTTGGGGGATATATTTTCTTCCATGTCTAAAAACTCTCAGAACTCCTTCCTACTCTTCCCTTTTATCTTTCCCTTTTCCCTTTCTAACTTCCTTTACTAATCCCTTCCTCACCTTCTTTCCATCTTCTGGCCCCTTATTGTTTTCCAAGCCCACACTCACCACACAGAACCATCTCTCAATTTTATGTTATCTGTGAGTTCATAGAACAGTGATATGAAGTCCAGAGTTGACTTAACCCAAAGGTCCCTGAACAAGATTTATGTTACCAAGTTAAAAGAGATGAGAACTTTGATGATCAAAATAGAAAATGTTAAGATATAGAATATGACCAAGGTAGTATTTGAAACGACTCTTCAACCTTGCGAAAGAGCTCAACAAGCCCGTAGAAATTCCGGGTATGTCTATGGTGTTCTTGTGCCCTGTCCCAAGGTTAAGGAGTGAGTTCAATGCTACCTCGGACATATTTTTTATCTAGAGAACAAGGTACTAGGAGACTCTAGGACTGGATCTCTGCTGTTTTCTTACGTATCACCTAGCGACCTCAGGCAAGCATTGCATCTCTGGCTACTTTGCCTTCTCTGACATGATACATTTTCTAGCTGATACAGTGAGAAAACAGGAAGAATCCAGCCCTAGAGGCTGCCAGTACCTGATTCTTTATACCCCTTTCCCAAATCCCCTCAAATGGCACGTTAAATAAGAATAACTGTGACATAAAGTGAATGATTTATCAGAAAGGATACATGGAGGGGTAGATCGTTATGAGGAAGAGAACAGACAATGTTCCTTGGGATTGTGTAAATTTCTGTTGGTTTGTAGATTTGCTGGCATAATCTTTTGGGATTTATATTCAAATACATACTATTTTCTCCATGAAGAGGCAGGACTTTTGGTGTGTGTGAAAAAAAGAGGTGGTGCGGTGGGACTTTGACATGAAAATATTGTTGATAAATTGAAGACATATCAGATGATTTATGATCATCCCTTGTCAGCCAAAGCTTGACTAGTTGTGTCTGTGTGTATTTGTGTATGTGAGCCTGGATGCTATATAAAGAAACATCAAGAGTTAAATATGTGGACATCATCTCTGCCTTCAAAGAGTTAATAATTAAACTAGAGAAACAACACAATTACGGAAATATTGAAGAAGATACAGTTTACCCCATAAAGAAAAAAGAAAAGATGCACAGAAAGTTAAATTATAGCTCAACTCCTGGAACAAAAGTTATGAAGATGTCAGAAGTACTGATTATACAAATATTTATTTATTTTCCATTATGCGAGGGTTTGCTTATTACTAGTTAAATAATAGTAAAAAATAAGTTATTAACCTGCATGTTATTTTAATAAAGTATAAAATACGTTATCTCCTGGAAGCCAGGGAGCGTAAAGAAAATTCACCTGCTCTTACTTTCTTAATAAAGTAAAGGTAAAGGTAAAGGCCCTCCCGTTGATCGTCGATTTGCTCGAGCGGGCCCAGTAACGTCTCCATTGGAGACTTTGTTGTTACTGTGCCTGGCATATCGAATACTCTCGGTAGCTTGCCGGGCTCTCCGAGAGGGGCGGAGGAATCGAACTCGGGTCGGCCATGTTGGCCGCTTGTAAGGCGAGCGCCCTACCGCTGTGCTATCACTCCGGCCAGAGAATAAGTCAGAGTTAGGTAGAAATGATGGTTATTCTCTTTGGCTTTCCCTTTTCTACTCATTTTCTATGCTCTAAAGAACAGCATCAGTACTCCTCTGCTCTCTGACTTGTTGTGACGTGGTGAATGGGACATGCTAACAGAAAATAAGAGTACTGGAAGAAATTGCAATGGGATAATTGATTGTTGTTCTGTCTCTGCTATGTCACTTCTCAGTCTGTTGTTTCTCCACGAATAAGTGTTCTGCCAACACATCTTCTGGATTCTAGGTTCTGCTTCACAGTTATCCCACACTATTTGGCTAGAAGAGGGAAAATAATATCCCATGAGAAATGCTTTGAGTGTCTCACTAATCCTTTCCTCTCCTCTTTTCCTAGTTTCCTTTAACCTACTAATGATTCTGTAAGTAGTTCCTACGTTAAAATGTCTTCAGGCCGCCCCTCCCAAACAGTTACCCCTGGGCACACACTCCGCACCCCAACTTGGAACCCCGAAAGCCAGCTGCCACAGGCAGCTGCGACCCCAGCGTGGGGCATCTGCCTCCACTTCCCCAGCAAGTACCAGCCCCACAAGTCACAGTCTCTCCCAAACAGGTCTGTGGACTAGCATCCTGACTGACTGGGGTGTGTCCACCACTCTAGGGGTGTGACATCCTCAAAAGTGGGCGTGGCCTTCTCGAGGCAGGTGGATGCTCAGGCTGCTACACTTATGTTCCCCACTCCCAGCTCTCTGGACTTGCATCCCAGTCTTTATCACCTAAATCTGTGGAAAAAATTCTGGCCACCTCAACTACAGTACAATAATTATGCACTGGCCTACCCCAATTCTAACAAAAGACCAGTACGCAAAGAAGCTGTACAAGCACAATATTAAAAGAGCACCTCCTCCAAAACTTCACTAGATGCCCGTCATAAGCCAAAGAAAAATGCCTGAGAGGATGGTCAGACTCTAGAAAGAGAGAAGGGTGACCACCATTGACCAACCTTACCCAGAATCCTTTCCCACGATAAGAGGGAACAGTACTAGTGAATTTCAGGGTTTAACCACTAGACAACCAAAACAACATGAAGAAACACCGAAAATCTCCACTACAAGGAGAATACAAAAAGAGTCCCGAATCCTCAACAGGGGTTATCCACAAATATGCTCTCTCTGATAAGGAAGTCCAAGACGAAATGCAGAGGATGTTCAAGGCTCTACTCAAAGAATCAGTGGAGGAAATATCCAGAAAACTAAAGGAAGAAATGAAAGTAACAATAGAACAGATAGTCGAGAAAATACAGGAAGAAATGAGAGCAGAAATAAAAAAGCTACAAAAAGAAGTGTCACAAATAAAGGATTCAGTAGACGAAATTAAAAACTCAGAAAGTGCCCTTAGCAGTAGGATGAATACAGATGAAGACAGGATCAGTGAGCTTGAGAATGAGCAACAAAAATCCCATAGGGAACAACAAGCAATGGGAAAAGACCACAAAATGGCTATAAGGAGAATCAGAGACCTAGGGGATGACGCCAAGAGGAACAATATTAGAATTACTGAAGAACCAGAAGGACAGGGAGGCAACCCCAATGAAAAAGCCACAGTCAAAGAAATCATTGCTGAAAAGTTCCCAGAGTTAAAGAATGCAGACATCCAGATCCAAAGAGCCAGAAGGGTGCCAACTAAAAGAGACCCTAATAAAAACACTCCAAGGCATATCAAGTAGAACAATGGATGCTGTGGACAGAGACACAGTACTACAAGCAGAAAGGTCAAAGAAGGAAATCACATACAAAGGAGCACCCCTTAGATTCACAGTGGACTTATCAGAGGAAACCTTCCAAGCCTGAAGGCAATAGTGGGATATAGTGAAAAAACTCAATGAAATGAATGCCTCACCAAGAGTACTTTATCCAGCTAAACTCTCACTCAAACTCAATGAAATGATACACCATTTTGTAGATAAACAACAGCTCAGAAACTTCATAGACTCAAAACCAAATCTAAAAGAAGGATTAAAAGGGCTCCTGTAAGACAATAAGGAAAACACTTATAAAGATAATAAGGAAAACACTTATAAACACAACCAACCCCTACAGAAAGATGGCACAAAACCCCATGAAAATAATCTCTCTCAATGTCAATGGTCTAAATGCACCAATCAAGAGACACAGAGTGGCAAAATGGATCCAGAAACTGAAACCAACATTC